GGCTGAGAATGATCTTACATGGATAGACAGATTAGGGAGCTCGAGGACAAAGTCGCCTATTATGAGCGACGAAGAGGAGAGAGGTCGGCACCCGGAGCCGCTTCCACGATGCCGCCAGCTGCAGCACCATCATCGGCGTCACCCTCGATGCAGCTGCACGATGTTGAAGATTCTTCAAACGAAATTACAGTTGTGCATGGTGATGACCATTCAGATGGTAACAGCACATCTCAATCAATCGCCTCACTTGGTCAGCCTGGGCCGACGATGTCTCAGTCAATACTACCCTCCACGCTCGAGAGGACGAGAACTTCCGACGCCCAGGTCCAATGCACATCCTCACCTGCTCGTGCAGGAAGAGGTAAATGCACTTTTATATGTCGTCTGGCAGGCGACCCCCCGAGTCTCGGATACTAATCCCGGCGAATAGCAATCGCACCCGAGTCCGCCCTCTCCTCAAGCGAGACCTTCGGGTCCGAGATCAGGACCCTCCTCATCTCCCGTTCCAACCCCGGCTCTACCGCCAGTCCGCGGTCCACCGTCAACGCTGCGACTCCGCTTCCGCATATTGACAGACGTGCACTAGAGATAGCGATTGGAAGTCAATGGCCGACGGAAGAAGAGGCCCACGCGATGCTCGATATCGTCATCTTCAACGTGGGTATATCGCAGCAGCTTTTTGACGTGCGTGCTTTTTCGGACAATCTGTCCGTCCTGTATCACGATTCTAGTGCCGATGTGCGGTTGACAGAGATTTGGATAGTGGAAGCACTGCTTGTCTTTGCGGTTGGTAGGCTATTGCAGGGACGGGATGATGAGGATGGAGAGATTCCAGGGACGATGTACTTCAAAGAGGCAGTGAAAAGGACGCCTTTGCTAAGTGATTTGCGGAAGCATGGCATCATCGGGGTGGAAATCATGGCTTTGACCGCATCGTACCTTCAAATTTCGGATCAGAAAGATGATGCATATCTGCATGTAAGTTGAGCTTCAGTTGAAATCTGAGAAGTTGGCAACTGACACGTCTAGTCTAATACTGCATTACGACTGGCCATCAGCAATGGTATGCATCGATCAAGTGGCTCACAAAATTCACGCCGCTCGGAAAATGTTCACCGGAACAGGTTATGGTGGTCAATCTACATGCAGGAAAGGTACATCACCATCGTGAGGTTATGCGTCGGCGTCAAGGTCCCATGCAACTGACTTTCCACCTAGGAGGTTATGTGCGGCAGGCGGATTCCCCATGTCCATAGAAGACTATGCGATAACAACAAAGTCTCCATACGAGGTGTTGGGATTCCCATCCGCCACAGCATTGGACGTCAATGTTCAGGCGGCAAGGATAACCGGCAAGATAACCGCCAGTTGGTTTGCTATGTATCTGGTCCCTATTGAAACGAGACTGACTGCAAGCCAGCGATCTACTCGCAAAGAGAAGAACCTGAGGCGAGCTTTATCAACAACGTCCAGGATATTCTACAATCGCTCTACGAAGTAGAGAAGAATATGCCATCCGAGTACTCGATGGAGATTAAACCCTCAGGGTTGACCGTCGCAGGACGACCATTCATGGAAGCCCCAACCACAATATCAAGAACTAGCTCTAGCTTACACATCTCGGTCTACTCGGTACCCGATACCTATGTTCCAGAAACAGAAGATCTTTACTGACACATGTAGGCTGTGATACATACCGTTCGGCCAATCTTACTGTACATGGCTCGAAACAGTCGCGACCCAGAGCGCGAAGACTCCCACAACGGTGTCAGGCCAGCACTCGTACGCCTTGCAGAGATCTGTGTTGAGACAGCAAGTAAGATTCTTGTCATTCTTCAAGAACTTCGAAAGAGTGAGATACTTGGTCAGTTTGGCTTTGTCCGCAACACGCCTGTCTTCATTAACAATGTTTGGCACATAGCAAAGAACGCATTTCTCGATCTTGACGCAACATTCTCCGTGGGATATGTGTTTGTGCTCGTTCAGGCCATCAATCCTGGCAAAGGGCTAGGCCACACAGGCATCGACGGGTCAAGAGCTATCCTTAGGTACCTTGCTACGCTTGGTAATCGACCTGCAGCCAGTCGCCTGGCGGAACTCGATCAGATGTGTTTGCATCTCGCCCTCCCTGTCCACCAATCTGGTATACAGGCTCCCCAAGAGTCATTCATAGACCTCATGGCGCAGCCCTTTTCGTTCTCAACTAGCTACAGAAACAGGGATGCGACCCTAGAAGGACCCTCAACAAGCGAAGATTTGGCAATGGCGAATATCCAGGGACTATCGGGGGTCCAGGAAAACCTTGAGCCAACGTCGGAAGTCCATGACATGGATGGTCAGCATGACTTTGGTTTCAGCGGCGCTGACTTGGCGAGTATACCGCTGGAGGGCGAGAATAGCCTGTACTGGGTCTACCACACCCCCGGGTTCTCATTTACTGGCGTCGAACAGACGGATTGGGAAGCTTTGGAGAACCAGATTCCGTGGCAGCAATGATGGCTGCATCCTTCGGACTCCAATGGAATAAAGTCCACTGAAAAGGGCCTGGTATGTGTAACCGGTATTTTCAACATGTCCCGGTGACTTGCCAGTGCGGAGGGAGGCTGATCCAAAGTCGGAAACGTCTAGCTCAATGCCATTAGTCCGAGTCCGAAGAACCTGACATACAGCAGTCCTCGGGTGTAGTTCCCGAGGGCAAGTGGACCCGCGGTCTCTGCCTCGGGCTTCTTGCACACGATAGAGGCAGCCGATATCAGAGGACTCTGGCTTCGTATCCCGAGCGACTCGCTGATCTGCACTCCTCCAGATTGCCGGTTTGCGGAGAGTCTGGGGTAAACCCCGCAATCCTCTGAGCTCCACGATGAATCAAGCGCTCCCCCAGATAATCACCCCGGAATTGGGAGCACTAAAGGACGGGGGAGCAGGCATCAGGACTACTTAAGTTCTTCCTGGCTGTTGTTCTATTTCCCACGTCTTCAGACTTCCAACGGGACGCTATTTTGCCAGGCTTCTACTCTCCATTCTACCGAGCGGAAGAATTGACATAGTCGCCGCCGACTCCTTAGTCGTACCACCTTACCGAAAGAAAGCTTTCGATTGTCAACAACCTTGACTTTAAAATTGGCGATTAGACTACAACGAGATGGCGAACACGAAAGACGATCCGCAAACTATCATGGCGGAAGAGCTCGAGATGATCAAGAAGCAAGACGAGGAACATGTAGCTTTTGAACAAATTAGCCCCGAAGAAGAGGCTGCTCTCGTCCGAAAGCTTGACCGCGTCCTGATGCCCCTGATGGCTTTTGTCTACTTCTTCCAGTGTAAGTATCTCTCGATTAACACTCTCACAAGCCTTTGAACTGACCATACCCCACGACAGATCTCGATAAGCAGTCCATCAACTACGCCTCAGTCTTTGGTCTCCGTAAAGACCTCAGCCTTACAGGCCAAGACTTCTCCTGGATCATATCCCTCTTCTACTTCGGCCAGCTTTGCTCTGAGTACCCCGCCGCCTACCTCATGGGCCGTCTCCCCATAACGCTCTTCGTCGGCGTCACAATCATCGCCTGGGGTGCCGTCGAGATGACCCTCGGCGCCACGCACAACTTCGCAGGCCTTGCGTCAGCTCGCTTCTTCCTCGGCTTTGCTGAGGGTGCCGTCTCACCGGCGTTCATTATCATCACATCAAACTGGTACCGCCGTCGCGAGCACCCGATCCGCGTCGCGACGTGGGTATCCATGTCGGGTGTTTCTCAGATTCTCGGCGCGCTGATGATGTACGGGATCGGCGGCACCGCAAAAATGGCGCTGGAGAAGTGGAGGGTAATGTTTCTTGTGAGCGGCGGGTTGACTGCGGCGTGTGGCGTTGCGTTTTGTTTGCTTATGCCGAGGGATACGACCACAGCGTGGTTCCTAAACGAGAGGGAGAGGGAGATCGCGACGCGGAGGTTGGCTCTCGATCGTGGGACCAGGGACCGCGCGGAGTTTAATACGAAACAGATGTATGAGGCGTTGAGACAGCCCACGACGTGGTTGTATTTCATGATGGCACTTTGTATCACGCTGACGACTCCTATCCTCAAGGTATGTATCCCGCCTCCATTTTGAGTGAACGCACCTAATACCACGCAAACAGTTCTCCTCCCTCGTCATCAACGGCTTCGGCTACTCCCCCTTCACAACCATGCTCGTCGGCCTCCCCGGCGGCGCAATTAGCTTCGTAACAATTTGGGCCAGCGCCCTCATCCCGCGCTTCCTCCCCGGTACGCGAGTATACACCTCCATCGGCCTCTCCCTTATCCCGCTCCTCGGATCCGCCATGCTCCTCGCACTGCCGCTACACGGCGCAGAGTGGGGCATCGTCGCGAGCACCTGGCTCGCGGCATGCTGCAGCGCGCTCCTGAGCTCCACGGCGTCAATGATGGCGTCCAACGTTAAGGGGAACACCAAGAAGAGTGTCGTTAGTGCCGGGTTTTTTATCGTGTACTGTGTGGGGTGTATTGTTTCCCCGCAGGCTTGGACGGAGGGGGATGCACCGCGTTATACTAAGGGGTGTATTTTGAGCATCGCGAGCTGGGTGGGGTTGATTATCACGTATGCTGTATATGGAGTCGTTTTGAAGAGAGAGAATGCAAAGAGGGATCGGCTTGCTGCGGAGGGGAGGTATGAGTACGATGTTGGGGGGCACGATGGGGGCGCGGAGGCGGTGCAGATGGGTGTGGCGGTTGATTCTGACTTGACGGATGTGCAGGACAAAGCGTTCCGTTATAACTTGTGAACTGTCAGACTAAGCATGAACTATTGGTTTACCGACAACGATTGACATAAGAATGCCGGAAATGGTCACACATTGTGCTTAAATGAACGATTAGGATAAGATGATATGTATTACATGATGCAAGCTGTTTCGTTGTAAGATAATCCAGCTTGCGGCTTCCCCCTAATAAATCATCTGCCCCAAGCGAAGTCTTCTCGCTTACATGGTCTGATGATTTGTGGAGCTACTGCGCCTTCCTCGTCTTTGCGAGAGTCTTCTTGCGCTGCTTGATCATGTAGGTGTACATGGTGTATGATCCTGGACCAGGGGGCAAATGATCAGTCGAGAGGGAGTCAAGTACGATTAAGGACAAGATCCATTCAGAGATAACTTACCAGGGATATACAGCAACAAGCAAAAGTAGAACACCGGCGGGATAAACGCGCTGATGCGCGAAGCGGGCTCGATGGCTAAGTACAGCAGCCAGAATTCGGAGGCGATGCCGATGGGGTAAAGGGGGTAAAACATGGTGTACCTAGTATTCTTGTCAGCACACTTCGTCCAAGTTTACCCTATGTTCAGGAAACATATGTAAGTAGCAAGAGAGTGTATGAACGTACCGCACCCAGACGAGGGCATCGGACGCCTTGCCGTGGAGATTCAGAGCTAGGTAGGCGTAGCGCACGGTATCGGCCGTCGCCCACGAGAGTAGGAGGGTCAGGTAGGCCGTGGAGGAGGCTGTGGTGGCGGGGAAGCTGTAGCAGACCATCCAGACTATGATTGTGCGGGCGACGACTTGGAGGGCTGTTGTGCCGACGGGGGATTTGACGAGGCCTGGGGGTTGCGTTAGTTTGGACTTGCGTACGTGATATCTCATATCCTCGGAACTGGCTCTGTAGTTTGAAGGATTGTGGCGGTGGTGGTAGGGGGTTTACTCACCCACGGCAGAATGAACCACTTCAATGAGGGTGAGAGTCTGCACCCATCGCGAGCGAGGTTCGGCGGCAGCGTAGACGGCGAGTGTGCCCTCGGACAAGACGGTTGAGATGACGTTGAAGAGGATGGATGCCCATAGTGCTGCGAAGAGTGTGTTGTAGAGGGTTAGGTATGCGACTCTTGGGCTGCTGCCGCTGGATGTTTGGGAATCTTTTGCGGCCATTGCGCTGGTTGGAGAGGTATAGAATCGCACGAGTCACGTCACGGTTGTGAATAACCTCAATTCTCACTTTCTGGTTGCATGTGAATGGAGGAGCTCGGGCCATCAATTGACTTTTTTTTTCTTTTTTCTTTTCTGACCTCCTGGCTGGCTGTCTGCAGGTTCTTTGGAAATCCCTGTCTCTACAAGCGGCCGAGGCGTGATGACTAAGGTAAGATATCTAGGTAAGGTAGCTGGCGCAAAAACCATCCACCGCATGAAAACACAGGGGGAATGGAATAGAGGCAGGCAGGAGACATCGGAGGAGAAGAAGCCGTCTGGCCGGGTAAGCCGCAAGGGATGAGTAAGAAGAAGCCGAAAGCCCCTGCATGGCGGTACGTATCCTTTTGACCTGTCTTTCGGCTGTCAAGTGCGGGTGATGAATTGGCCAATGATGCCGCGGTTTTTGGCAAGCTATGGATCCACTTGGGCAGCTGGTCCCGGGATGCAGATGCGTAGCCTTTCCGATTTCTTCCCAGATGGTTACCGGGGGTCACCGAATGCACCGCTGCTTTTGGGGTGTTGGTCTAGGCATGGATAAAGAGCTTTGGACCACCTCTCTCGCGGGGATTGGCAATGTTTATCGTTTAGCAAAAGCAAATAGATGACTTTCCAGTTTGGAATTGTCTTTTCTAGACTTGCACTCCATGAAGAGGAAGCGAATGGGAGGATCAAGTTATTTTGAGATAATGGACCATCCAAAGCTCCTACTGATATTAAATGTAGCCAACAAAAAAACCCCAAATGAGAAGACAGACTTTCAATAAAATCCCTGTAGGGGAAATTGTAGTAAATTAAAGTCAAGCCGTGATACACACCAGAGGGTACCTTATTGTGGTAGCCTACCTTAATGAGCTTCTTTGTGGTGCCTGCCAGACAGAGCTGCTGATCATGTGCCTAAAGCGGCAGGTGATTCTGTCACAGCGCCTAGCAAAGCTCCAACATCAAATTTACACTACGATTTTCCGAGTCCCTTTTCTCTGACCAGGGTTAAAGACTCATTCAACACCATCAGAATCACCCAAACTTATCGTCGAGGATCGCCGGGCGCTCAACCACCACCCTCCTCTTCTATCCTCTACCTGCAACCGTCAAGATGATGCGCTCCCAGCTCCAAGCCGTCGGTCGCCTGGCCAAACCCTCCGCGGCCACTCCTAGACTCGCATCCGCAGCTCGCACCCAGATCACCAGCGCAGCATCAAAACCGACAGCCACAACGACGAGATCCCTCACGACCGTGACGCGCACCACCTCGATACCGATCGTACACGCCTACCCCGCCCTCTCCTCCTCCCAATACCGCTCCTTCAGCACCACCCGCATCCAGCATGGCGAGGTCATCATCACCGTCCCGCAAATGGCCGAGTCCATCACCGAAGGCACTATCGCCTCCATCGGCAAGCAGGTCGGCGACCGCGTCGAGGCTGACGAGGAAGTCGCTAGCATCGAGACAGACAAGATCGACGTTGCTGTGAACGCCCCCGAGGAGGGCACTATTGTCGAGCTCTTCGTCGCAGAGGGCGATACCGTCGAGGTCGGACAGAAGCTCGCGCGCATGGAGACGGGCGGCGCACCCGCCGAGAAGAAGGAGGAGTCCCAGCCGGAAAAGAAGGAAGAGGCCAAGTCCGAGAGCAAAACCGAGCCCGCCGCCGCGCCGGTCAAGGAGGAGAAGAAGGAGCCCGAGGCGCCCAAGAAGGAGGAGAGCAAGCCCGCCCCGGCACCACCCCAGCCCGCCGCTCCCCAACAGCAGCAGCAACAACAACAAAAGCCCGCATCCGAGGTCCCCTTCGGCGCGACGGGCTCCTTCTCCCGCGGCGAGCGCATCGAGAAGCTGCCGCGCATGCGCAAGACCATCGCCACGAAGCTCAAGCAGTCGCAAAACGCGACGGCGTCCCTGACTTGCATCGAGGAGGTCGACATGACCAACCTGATGGCTTGGCGAGCTAAGAACAAGGAGGCCGTCATGAAGCGCTACGGCGTCAAGCTCGGCTACATGGGCGCTTTCACCAAGGCGACGTGCCTTGCCGCGGAGCGTGTGCCCCAGATCAACGCCGCCATGGATACCGAGAAGGAGATTATCACGTACAGGGATTACGTCGATATCAGCATCGCCGTGTCTGCGCCCAAGGGTCTTGTTACGCCTGTCCTGCGTAACGTCGAGAGCTTGGATATTGTTGGTATTGAGCGTGGTGTGGCTGAGCTGGCCGACAAGGTAAGTCCTATTTGTTCTCGTGTTCTAAAAAAGAACGCTCTTTCTAACTTTCATCTTTACAGGCCCGCAAGAGCAAGCTCGCCATGCCCGACCTCGAGGGCGGCAACTTCTCCATCAGCAACCCCGGCATCTTTGGCTCTATGTTCGGAACCCCCGTCATCAACTACCCCCAGGCCGCCATCTTCAACATGAACGGCATCAAGGAGCGCGTCGTCGTCATTGACGGCAAGCTCGAGATTCGCCCCATGATGTACATTACCGTCACCTACGACCACCGCCTCATCGAGCAGCGTGAGGCCGAGGCCTTCCTTGGTGCCGTCAAGGGTTACATCGAGGACCCCTCCAGCCTCCTTCTCTAAGTCTGGAAGAGTTTCTGTGTTTGTTTGCGTTAAGGAGAGACAGTATGTGGTAGAATGGGTATAGACTGTGTACGGCTACGGTTCTCGTAGCATCGTGCCGAATTGTATTTTACTTTGTAAATGGGGGAGTGGGATTGGATCGACAGCATTGCCGTGCGGGCATTGGGGGCGTACAATTGCTGCATCTTAGAAACCTTAGATGGGGGCTCGGGCATAGATAATCCGGAGAATCCAGCGTCCAGCATATTGCCCTTTACTACAGCGATTGCTCGCACCTTCAACCGTTTTCAATTCACAGATTTGATGGAACTTGGGTTGTTGATACCAGGCCTCGACCTAGCACTAGGGATTCTCGGAGTCGGTACTATGCCAGAGTTGCCATCATACCATGCACTGGGAGCTTCAATATCGAAACCCCAACGTCATTCTCTTCTGAGCATGATTCAATTCTCATGCAAGAGACATGTTGCCGTCGTTGGTGGCTGTCCGGATGTAGAAGCCGGAGGTGGTTTACTTTGGTTCAACGGTGGGTCCAGGATAGGACTTCGGCTTCGATACCCGAGGGCAACTTTCAACCACCTTCAACCCAACGACAAGCTAAGCACTCCATGCGAGAAGCATCACTTCAACATACTAAGCGGGCTTGAGGTCGAATCCAAATGTGTTCAATGCATCCGAGACGCCGACGGCCAGCCCGAATAGCCTACTCGTTTGACTCCCACTTGGACCGACGGCATGAACATCGAGGGGCCTCCAGCGTGGGGTTGTTACGGAGACGTTCCCCGCGTGTAAGTCGCGTTAAACTTGCGATTATGTGGACTTTACATCTACGTCAAACATCGAAAGAGCGACCAACGGGAGCGGAGACATGTCAAACCGCCCTCAACTTGCTTCTACTACCAAAAGTCAAGCTTCCAGACTCTACCAAGCCGATTTCCATCACCCACTACCAGTTGAGCTCCCGACACGATGATTCGATCCGCCTTCTCGATCTCTAGAATCCATACACAACAGAACCTCTTGCGAACGAAGACCTTGTCCTTTCCTTCTTCAAGCTTCGGCAGCATCTCGCACCACCTCATTGGGACCGCAGGGGCGAGGAATCGCCGAACGTTCGTCTCCAACAAATCATGTAGACTCGAGCCCTCAAAAAGGAGATCCTATGCTACGGCAGCAGAAGCTGAGGAACCAAGGGTTCTACCGGTAAGCTCATGGCCGATAACTTCTCCCTTATGCCTCCAGGACTAACAACTTGCGGCCACTTAGAATCCCATAGATTCGTTTCTCCAAGGAGGAACAGCGAAGTACGTCGACGAAATGTATCTTTCCTGGAAGAAGGACCCTGAAAACGTTCATGTATCATGGCACACGTATTTCCGCAACATGGAGGATCCCTCGGTACATTCGACGCAAGCCTTTCAGCCACCGCCAGGCATAATCTCGCCCAGACACACACCGGCTATCAGATCGTCTGCCAGTGCCGCATCGAGCGACGTTGTTGACTATCTCAAAACCCAGAATATCGTTCGTGCATTCCAGCAATATGGTCATTCAGCCGCAAAGATCAGCCCTCTCGGCGATGTCGGCAACGCGACAGTCAAGCCGCACGACGATATCCCAAGTACAACGAACTTAAGCAAGTACGGCTTCACCGCCGCAGACTTGGACCGTGAAATTGTTCTAGGTTCAGAGATTTTCCCTCACCTCGCACAACACCACAAGACGATGAAACTCCGCGACATCATCGCCACGTGCGAGCAGATTTACTGCGGCTCCATTGGTGTCGAATACCACCACATATCCGACCCAGCCAAGCGCCAATGGCTCCGCGAGCGCATCGAAGCATACCATACCTTGCCCCCCTCACCCGAAGAGAAGAAGCAGATCCTCGACAATTTGATCTGGGCAACCACCCTCGAGCGCTTCCTCGCCGCCAAATACCCCAACGAGAAGCGCTTCGGCCTCGACGGCGCGGAAGGGCTGGCGCCCGGCTTAGCCGCGCTCATCGATCGCTGCGCAGAGGCGCATGGCGTACTGGATATCGTTATCGGAAGCTGTCACCGCGGGAGGATGAATCTGATGAGCACGGTGTATGGAAAGGACTATGAGACGCTGTTCCGTCAGTTCTCGGGCACGGAGACGTTTGATACGGCAAAGGGCCAGACTGGGGATGTCAAGTATCATTTTGGCATGGAGGGGGAGAGGGCGACTGCGGGCGGGAAGATGGTCGGCATCTCCATGTTGCCGAATCCATCCCACTTGGAGGCTGTCGATCCTGTTGCCCAGGGGAAAGCCAAGGCTGTACAACATCTGAAGAATGATGTCGATCAGTCCAAGGTGATGTTCTTGGCTCTCCACGGGGACGCCGCCTTTTCTGGTCAGGGACCCGTGTACGAGACACTCAACCTTTCAGCTCTGAAAGGCTACGAAGTCGGCGGCACCATCCGGATAATTGTGAACAACCAGGTCGGTTTCACTACCGACTCGCCAGACTCAAGATCAACGCCATACTGCACGGATTTGGCCAAATATATCGAGGCCCCCATTTTCCACGTCAACGCCGATGATCCGGAAGCCGTTGTGTTCATCAGTAAGCTGGCTGCGGACTGGAGAGCCAAGTTCCGCTCGGACATCGTAATTGATGTCGTCTGCTACCGGCGCTTCGGGCACAACGAGATTGACCAGGCCAGTTTCACTCAGCCTGAAATGTATAAGAGCATTGCTGAGCAGAAACCGTTGATGGACCTCTACATTGAGAAGTTGATCGGCGAGGGTGGGATGTCTGCTGAAATGGCAGAGCAGCAGAAGACTTGGGTCTGGGAGCAGCTGGAGGAGAAATTGGCGAGAAGCAAGCAACTAGCTGACCGATCCCCGGACGCTGGTTCTTCGGACTTGACTTCAGCCGCTGAGATTACTACATCTACGAACGCGGTCGACGAGGCCGCACTTTTGACAATTACCAACGCAATCACCAGCGTTCCAGAAGGCTTTAATCTCCACCGCAACCTTCAACGCATCCTCGCCGCCAAGAAGCAAGCCTTCGACGACGGCACGGTCGACTGGTCCACAGCCGAAGTCCTGGCCTTCGGAACCCTTCTCCAGGACGGCAAGTCCGTTCGCCTCAGCGGCCAAGACGTCGAGCGAGGCACCTTCTCCCAGCGCCACTCCGTCCTACACGATCAAGTCACCCACGCAGAGTACACGCCCCTAAACAACCTAGATACTCCAGGAGCAGGCACATACAGCGCAATCAACTCCCCGCTCAGCGAGTTCGGTGTCCTGGGGTTCGACTATGGGTACTCCCTCGCCGCGCCGCACTCGTTGGTGGTATGGGAGGCGCAATTTGGCGACTTTGTCAACAATGCGCAGGTAATTGTCGATCAGTTCATCTCTTCGGGGGAGGCGAAATGGATGCTCGAGTCTGGACTCGTCATGTCTTTGCCGCATGGGTATGACGGGCAGGGACCGGAGCATTCTTCTGCTAGGCTTGGTAGGTTTCTGGAGTTGGGGAGCGAGGATGGGCGGGCTTATCCTGAGGATTTGGAGAAGCTGAGGAGGGAGGGGAATGTGAGGATTGTGTATATGACGACGCCGGCGAATTTGTTTCATGCGTTGAGGAGGCAGATTTATTCTCCTGAGAAGAAGCGTAAGTCACTTTTACGAGAAAGTTGGCTTTGGACTGCTTGCTAACACTTTCCAGCTCTAATTATTTTCTTCTCCAAGTCTCTTCTCCGACATCCTATCGCCAGGTCTCCCGTTTCTGACCTAACGGGTACATCAACCTTCCAGCCCGTCCTCGAGGACCCGGAACACGGACGGGGTAATATACTCCCCCACGAGGAGATCGACCGCGTGATTCTCTGTAGTGGTCAAGTCTACGCGGCACTGCACAAATATCGTGAATCAAAGGGTATCAAGAACGTCGCCATCACGCGCATCGAAGAACTCCACCCTTTTCCCTGGGCCGAAGTGAAGGAGAATCTGGAGTCATATCCCAATGCGCAAAAGATTGTGTGGTGTCAGGAGGAGCCATATAACGGAGGCGCATGGCAATACATGCGGGACAGATTTGAGACTGTGATTGAGAATTGGAGCGTGCTTGGGGGTAAGAAGATTGTTTACGCCGGACGGGGGACTGGGGCTGCTACTGCTACTGGGTCCAAGAAGGTTCACCAAGCTGAGGAGACCAAGTTGCTCGAAGATGCTTTCGAAGGTTAGGTTCGAGACAGGAATATCTACTAGTAAACACGGGAAAACTGCGTTCGGTTCTCGAGTTCTTTCCTCGTCGGTGCGGGTGGCGGTCTAGACTCGGCGGTTGGCGAGCGGAAACTAAGACATCATGCCAGCGGCCCGACCCCTGAGTACTATTGATAAGGCCAGTTCCAATGATTGCCGTTCCCCACCGTTCAGTTTTGCGGGGTAAGCGTCGAAGTGTCTGAATGCAGGAGGAGTTTGGCCTGCAGCTGAAAGCTGGGAGCGCGGGTTAAACTGCTTTCAGTTAGGGTGCCCGCTTGCCAGTTGATTCTCAACGTCAGCTATTCGAATTTCAGCCAGCCTCTGTGGGTGATATGGACAGGTCTCGAATCAGGCAAAGACCCATCACTGTCTTGCGTGGTCAAAATATGGGGTGATAGGCCCAAAGTACGAGCAGGGCATTTTCTTCCCGCAAACATTACATTGCACTAGCAGCGGCTGAGAGTGAGACCAGACATCAACGAACGGAGGCAATTCATGAGAGGAAATAGTCCAGAATCTGGCCGCTGAAGGCAAAGAGGTTCATGCTGTTGAAAACTGTATAAATGCCCATGGGCCCCGCGCCCAATGTCAGTGAATGCGACTCCATCACTAACGACTCAAGCAACTTCTTCTATTCTATCTGATAGTCAGTCCACGTGGACCAAATCAGTAAAGTTAATATGGCGCCTCCAGAGTCCCCTGATACGACTCCCAAAGTCTGCTATAAATACATATGGGCCCAATTCGTAGCCCAGTGGAAGCTCGAAAACGACCTCCAAGCATCAAAGGCCGGCTATGTTGATCTTATAGGCGACAACAACCAGTTGAAGCCGGAATCCGAGACCGTCTCCGGCTTGGCAGATAATCTCAAGCGTGTGACCGGTGGCGGCGTCATCCCCGAGAAGCCGGGACACTTCAACGTCGGTATCGTCGGTGCCGGCGCGGCTGGACTCTTCACAGCTTTAGCCATTGACTGGATCAACGACACCATCGCAAAAGAAAAGGGGCCTGGGCACCTCAACATCACTTACGAAATTTTGGAGGCTTCGGATGAGGAACGATTCGGCGGAAGGCTCTATACCCACCGGTTCAGCAAGGATGGTGTGCACGATTACTACGATGTCGGAGCCATGCGTTTTCCCAGGAACGCAGTCATGGACAGGTATGTTGCTAACTTTTCGTCAAGATGGAGCGTTAAGGGCCTGAAATGAGCTCAGCTAAAGCAACACCCGAACTTTAGAACCTTTAGCCTTTTCAACATGCTGGACATCAAAGAGGGTAAATTGGGCGACCGCACGCATGTCGACGATCCTCCACGACTGATCAAGTATTATCTGCGTGATGACAAAAATGTTTGCCCAACGCTCTTCAACAATGTTCGAAAGGTCGGCAACCCATACCCGAAGGGTTCAACAGAGAAAGATCCTTTTGCACTCAATGTGGGCATTGCCAAAGACAAGCAAATTCCAGAGAAGTTAGTTCCCAGCTGTCATGGACTTGGTGTAGACTTGAGCAACATAGCTAACTCTGCTTCACCCTTCTACTCAGTCTCTTGCAAACGAGCCCAGGTGAACTCTTCGAGGAAGCAATTGGGACATTCATTGCATATGTGAAGAAGTATCTCGATGCCTACATTGACAAGAAGACCCCGATGCCTCGTGAGGCCGAGGAGAAGCTATGGAAACTCCTGATGAAATGTGATAAGATGAGTGTTCGCCAGTTCTTACGCACGTGAGTAGCTCCTCAACCTCGAGTTGGTTGCTGCGAAATGCTGACTTTTGAAAAGAAAGGGAAAGGTTCCCGGCTTCCCTGACGACAAGGATGTTCCCAAAGGTCCAGGCTTCAGCTACAACACCATCCAATGGCTGGAGACTGCCACTTAGTAAGTAGTGCTCTGTATTCGGCACCTCAAAATCGACATGACAGAATGAATCTAATTTCATCGCCTTTAGTGGCACTAGCTGGTACGATCAAAGTCTTACCGAGGCCGTTCTGGAGAGCATCGACTTTTACATCACCGACGATAACGCAAAGGCCAAAGAGATCAACGACAACTGGTTTTGCATCGACGGCGGCGCTCAGAAGATTGCGGAAGAGATGCGCAAGAAGATGAAGAACCAATCGGCTATCAACTTCAACACCCAGGTCGTGGGAATGGATGCTAACTTAGAACTCAACGAGCGAGTGACAAAGTCCATGACCGTGATGCTGCGGGATAGTGTCACCGGTAAATCTCTGCGTCCAAGAGACTACTTCACGGTGTTCAGTTCGGCAACGTTAGGGTCGATGAACCGAATGGATCTCTCCAAAGCTGGTCTGCTCTGGGATACCAAACAAGCTATTCGCTGCTTGGGCTACGGAGCTTCCTGCAAGGTCGGCATCAAGTTCAAAACCCCCTGGTGGCAGAAGGAGCCGTACAACATCGACCAAGGTGGCCTTGCCCGTACAGATCTTGCTCCCCAAGTCTGCGTGTACCCTTCTTACAACATCAATAAGGACGTCGATCCGCGGGACGAGCCTGCAGTTCTTCTCGTCTCCTACACCTGGGGACAGACAGCCCAGCGCCTGGCTAGTCTTATTGCATCAAAGTCGCGCGGCAAGTCCAACGCGGACATACTCAAAGAAGAAACTGAGCTGAAGGAAGTCATGCTCCGAGATCTCGCCTTCTTGCACACACACGACCATAACGACAAGAAAAAACTCGATGACACTCTGGAAGAGCTCAACAAGCAGTATTTGGAACACCACGCTTACGACTGGTACCATGATCCCCACATGGCTGGAGCATTCGCCTACTTCGGCCCCAGCCAGTTCAGTGAGCTGTACCCGGCCATCACGAAACCTAACGCAGGTGGTCAACTGTACTTTATCGGCGAAGCAGCTTCTGCACACCACGCTTGGGTTGTTGGCGCGCTTGAGAGTGTTGTGCGGGCACTCTACCTCATGTTTGATGCTTTGCACCAGGGCAGCAGGAACGACCCCGAGATGAAGGACACATACCAGGCATACAAATGGGCCATGGACCTTCTCGAGTTTGGTTACATCAAGGACCATCCAGCCAAGGGGGAGAAGTCTGCAACCACAACTGCTGCGCCGAGTCCCCTGCCATTCTTTCCGCTGCCTGCCGAGATGCCACGGCGCCGCAGAAATTTTGATAACCTAAATCTCAATGAGCCTGACGACTCTAGCGACAAGGGCGATTTCAAAACTGTTGGGGTTCACCCAACAAGTTCTAGATCTGCAACGACTTTCGAGAGGCCTCATGACCTTCCGTTCAGTGAGAGTGTTCGGGCCGACGTCTATGCTCAACCTCCCCCGGAAAAGATCGTGGAAATAGCCAGTTCTCCGACGAGAGGGGAATTCTCAGATCACCCAGCCGTGAAAGGCACTGGAGAGGTGCAGCTCACGTATGGCGCCGCACTTGTTGCTCTGAGTACGGTCGAGTCGGCTATATCGACTTTGGCTGAATTGAAAGAGGAAGAGTTGAAAGATCAGTTAAAGAAGATATCGGAGGAGACGGAATCTACGTAATTGCTACTTTTTGTAGTTATTCTCGAATTGAATTATTGATGATTGCGCAAGCCAACTTTTGAAGTCTCTTTGACCATTCATTGAGTGCAGCCAGCCGGCGAGGTTCATGCCATCGAATCAAGGTAGAATTCCACAAAGTCTTATTCTCTACTATTTTAGAGGTACTTTGGTATCTCATGACCTTTCTTAGGCTATGCTGACTGCCAAGAGACGGCGTCGCCAAGCATGAATTCTTCTGTCTCACCCTGGCGCTGGATTCGACCACTAGAAATGCCATGAAAACCAACGTACGTCATTGCTGAATACCAAAGTCCCAATATTGGTGATCTTCAACGTAAGGCAGAAAACAGTGAGGCGGCTTATAAGAGGTGACTGTCATTCCGGCGCCCTTGAGTTTCAATTTAACCCGCCTCACTTACTGGTAACGCGTCTTGTATGAGATTCTCAAACCTTGCCCACGATAGTACACTAAGAACATCAACAACTTGGAAAATATTGCCTAAGACCTTTGGAACAGTCGGGTGAGCTCAATATGAAGCTTATCATTGGCATCCTTGCGACAAGTTCGTCATATCTGGCAATAGCAGATAGCGCCCGAATCCACAACATACAAGCGCGGCAAAGCAATTCGATTAGCACCAATATCCGCGATGCAGTAACAAATCCAAATGCTACGGGAACGTGGCCCATCAACGGCATCGATGTGACCGAGCCAATGCTGGATCCACCGACCGACGACTACGGCCCCGGGAACGGTTGGAGCATCAACATCGCCGTTGCAACCAACATTTCCGCGGATGACATCAGCACTTCAGTATCGAATCCCGCAGTCATAACTCTCGAAGGACCAGAGAATGCCTTTCAAGGCCTGAATTCGTCGACGAACTATACTGAAAATTATGACATCTGTTCCTTTGCCTGGTTTGAGAACGTCTGGACCGTCAAAGAATTGGAAAAGCTTCAAGATGATGTCAACGGGTCTTGCAATGGTGTCATCTCCGAGGACTGCATCAAGGAGACCAAAGAGGCCCTGGTGGGCCAGCCGTGTAGCACCTTCAGAAGCTTCGAAAAGCCTAAGAGCTGCCCTCAAGCACTTGCATCCCCTTCGTCGTTTCGACGTAAGTTACTAATTTTCCTCGAGACTGCACCTGACAGACCTTACAGCGGAGACTAATAGCCTCGACCAGGGAACGTGACTTTTGATCTGTCCAACGGAACTTCGACGAATGAAAGTTCCTCTTCTCACCTCTTTGGCATATGGGGACCTTATTCGAACAGATCGGAAGCTGGTCTACGTGATGCATACGACACAGCTCTTACGAATGTCTACCCTGTGCTTCTTGCATACAACTATGAAGACGGAGAGACTCGGTCGAATTACAGCGTATTCCGATGCATTCATGCTAATAACATCGTAGAGGGAAGCCGCGAACCAGATTCGTTCGGAAGCAACAGAAGGAGCTCCGCAGGGCGGGCCTCTTGGTCAAACGCCTCTGCAATGATTAGTATGCTTGTAGCGTTCTCAATCACTATGCTCCTGTAATGTAGATTATCTGCACGTAGAGTGGAGGTTGATCGATGTATCAAATGTATTCACAAATGTATTCACCTCTTTCAACTCTTTAAATCTTGTCAGCTGGCTGTTTGGGCTCCAGTTCCCATTCATAAATATTGGTGGTTTGCTAAACTGTCAGCGATTGACACAATATATGTTTATTGCGTCTTCCAGAGTTCCGCACGGGCATAGGCTGGACTCAACAAATTGAAGCACCATTGGCGCTACTTCAAATCAGATTCAAATACTTCTTATTCGATGCACCTTGATTTGCCGCTTAAACACATCTTATCAGCTTGCGGTCTACTGGCTCAATATTGGTTCCTTTCTGCATATCCAAACATCTTGGGGATAATCGGGGTAGCTTTATGCTTAATTCGAGTATAGCATCAACAGGTGTCTGAAGGTTTATTCTCCGGATCTCACACCGCATCCGGTAACCGGTGTTTTGCGTCGGAAATGGGTTTCCTTCACTAAGTTCCACCCAACCTACTTAACCTGAGTGACGCATGCCATCGTCGTTCAAGGAGAGTTCCACGTCTCTCCCGCTGCGATTAGTAACCGTCTGAACTACTGAGAGTCTTTTGAGTTTATCGATGGTTAAACCTACATATCGCCGAGACGGGAGGGGGCTTCGACAGTTTCAATTTCAGTCAGTCGCACCTAACAGGGGACGGGGCTATTGACTCGGGTTATGCAACTACTAGAAAAGCCCTGATTTCCAGTTTCCCATGCCGAATTCATGAGGTGTGCCGAAAGACACTACCCCGCATCTCCAGTTCTCCGTCCTCCTTCTTGGAAGGTGTTGCGTCGTTCACCCAAGCCCGAAGGCTGGCCACTTTTACACTGTCAAACCCGTTACTGAGTATGGCTCACGTTGCGACGTTGTGAAGATATAATGGCCTCTTTTTCTTCATACACTAAACTCGGGCAGGGAGAGGACGACATTGAGTGTAAGGAAACTTGGCCCGAGCAACCTCTGCCTCGTGGAAAGTTGCACCTCGTATACATTCTCCTCTTAGTTTTGGTGGCCGGTATCAGCAATTGTTTACCACCAATTCTCATGACTCGGCCCGTCTACTTTGGAGCCGAGCCGCTCAGGTCGGAGATTCGTCGTACGTAGATGCGAGTTGCCATCTCGGAGCATAACTCGAGCTGACGGTGAACAATAGTGAAAACGTCTACACGGGTCTTCCAGCAAGACTACGCCTACGCGATGCCACCTTCTCCCGAGGTCGATGCTGCGTGGACCTCCCTTCTCCCGCAAAACGGCGGCTTCTTCACGCACCCGACACTTGCGCCAACGGAGAGCTGCGTGGCGGTTTTCCATCAAATTCACTGCCTAGATATGCTACGCAAGGCACTTTACGAGGCACGTAACGATACAATGGAACATCGAGGGCACGAGAAAAAAAACACGGATTCCAGCGACGATAAGATTTATGCGAGCGAGGCGGAGGAGCTCAATGCATCGCACGACATGGATCATCTCGGACACTGCTTTGACCTCTTGCGCCAAGTTATCATGTGCAGGCCTGTTAGTATACTCTGTCCTGTCTTGGATGACTTGTGTTGGTGGCTGCTAATAATATCTGGACAGGATCTCACGATTGAGGTTGCCAACGTCGTAGTGGACGGCGTCACGGGTTTCGACACGGAACACCAGTGCATTGACTGGTCGGAGTTGATGGACTGGATGAAAAAGAATGAGTGAGAAATAAGTATATGTGGACGTGTGTGGCTTAAGAAAACAAGATTGGTGTTGCTACATCTGCCTTCTGTACCTTAGATGTGATGGAGAAGACGCATGTCCCCACGGAGATGACTACCATCTGCCACCTTTTTCTTGTGATTGACAGACCTCGGATCTACACTGCAAGCCCAAAACCCTTTGCATGACGTAGCCGTGGACTCTGCTCTGGCTACAGGGAAGAATGTCATTCCATCTAGCTTCATAGCTGCTAGCGACGAGCGATAGTGCACCCGACGGAATGCTAAAATCCTTTGAACACTAGGTATCTAGCCGCACCCAATCATGTGAGCGATAGCAAGATCTGAGCTTGGTCTTTTTTTGTTGTTCACCTGGGCGGCAATGTTGCCGCCCACTATTGTCTCTCGAGTGAGAAGTGCGGAACCTTGGCCCATGTCATTTGACTTAGAAGAACACACTACATGGGAGGAGATTCACGGGCGGAGGGTACCCGCCACTTATGTTTGAGTACTTATTTCCCTCGTCGAAACAATAGGGTCTCCCTCGAAAGTTCAAACACATTTCGATATTTTGTCTCACAGGTACTTTTAAGTTACCTACAAAAAGTCCCAAGTCCCTAGGCCGGTACAAAACATGGCCTATGTCGCAAACTCTCTCGTTATCCTCTGGGTGCTTAGTTTTGTCAACAGGAGCTGTGCAAGCAAGTCGCAATTCTCCCATCTCTGGCCACGTGCCGATACCGTGGTCCAGAACAGCTCCTCCATCTTGACGGACAGCCTTTTGAATCCGAACGCCACGGGAAGCTGGCCAATCTTTGGCATCGACTTGTCGAAGCCCCTTTCAGAAACCCCAACAAACGATGAGTTCGGTCAAGGAAATGGGTGGAGCATCGGCGTTGCAGTTGCCACGAATGTTAGTCGGGGAACCGAGAGCAATTCGAACCCGTCAAAAATCAGTCTTGACGCCTCGGACAATTCGTTCGAAAGAGGGAACGTAACTGACGGGTACCGGATCTGTTCATATGTTTGGTGGCAGATGAGTTGGACTGAGAACAAGATCAAGAAGCTCAATGATGATAGCCAAGGCTCATGCGGTGGCGTGATCCCACAAAATTGCATTAACGATCTCAAAGAGATTGCAGCGAAGGTCCAATGTGACAGCTCTTTGGAGTCCCCGCTGTACGGTATCGGATTCGACATTCCGACGAGTTGTAGTGACTCAATGGCATACACAACGGCAGAAAGAAGTGAGTGACTTCTCGATTGCTCATTGACGCGAGATTATTGACACAGAATCCTAGGAAACCTAACAACAGAGTTCATCTCAAACGCCTCGGCCTCTTCCCACGCGTTATTCCAGTCAACTGCACCATACAACATCGCCGGCAACGATAGTAATACCAGAGAGGTCTATGACTACGCGGTGACACAGGTCTGGCCTGTGATGCTCTCTTACAGCTACACAAAAGATAGCGCGACCTCAAACTACACAGTCTTCCGCTGCGTTCGCGCCAATAACATTACTGCTGGAAGTCGGTTGCCCGAAAGCTTCGGAAACAGACCAAGTTCATCGACTCGACTCGGATCGTCATTCGCGGGTCTGTTCGTTGGCTTACTGGTTGCTACGATTGTTTCGTCTTGGATGTAAAGCGGCTAGAGTGTCGACTCGCGTTAGAGATACATCCATCGTTTTAATGTACGAGGAGATGCAGTACTTTGAGGTATACCGAGTACTAGAGGTGTACATGTATCTCGCAATGGAACATCGTTGCTTAGACGCCACAAGGGATTGAATTCACATCATACTGGAAGAGATGATCGATTCACTGAGATTTAGATGATGGCGAGCACTCAAAACAATATGCATACGGCAATATCCCCGTGGACAAGTCTTGTCGGAATCGAACGTGCAATGTTGGCCACCTTCTCAAATTTCTTTTCCTCCTCGACACAGACATAATCTTAGTAATTCCAGGGAGATGAAGTGAATTCCTGCATGTCTGGTGTCATATTGTTTGTGCACCTGGTTCTGCATTACACTCGAGCTGCGGAGGATCTGTGCTGCGGTGGTTGTTTTGCAGAAAGCGAATCAAAACGCCACAATCTTCAGGCGCGAAGCACGAAGCTGACTGCATTTCGACCTGCAGTGTAACGGGGAAAATACCACTTGCCGCTTTGTCTTCGTCTCGGCTTGTACCGTAGTGAGAATCTTCACACGGGCTACTGGTAACCATAAATGACCGTAATCCGGACTCCAAAATTGCTTAAGATACGCGTCGTATGATCAGTGAAACTTGTGATTCTTACCTGTTTGCGTTGCGATTTGGATCATCAGAAGACGGAGTTGAGAGCTGTGAAAGAGTTACCATGACGCTGTGTACATCCTCACCTAAACGTGTCATATCTAAAAGAAATTCGATTGAAAAATCAATGGAGCATGGCAAAGTAGAACAAGGTTCGTATTCTTTCGAAATCGTCTTGGAAACGGGTAGTCAGCTGATTTTAAGGCAAATTGTCGCACTGGCAGATACTTCAAACCTGAATACTTCTGACGAAGACGCCGATCTGTCTCGCCTGGGGCTCCAATCGCAGGCAAAACGAGAAATTGGGCTTCTGGCTATTATTGGATTAGGATGGAACATCTGCAACAGCTGGTCCGCAATTGCAGCCACGCTGGTGATATCAATCAGCTCTGGAGGGCCCGTCACCCTGCTCTATGGCATCGTCCTCATTTTCGTCTTAGGAGGCGCGTGTGCGTTGAGCATGGCTGAGATCGCATCCGCCTATCCTACCGCCGGAGGACAATACCACTGGACAAGCATCCTAGCATCCAAACGGTACAGCCGTGGACTGGTGAGACTTTCCACAATTAAGTCTCTGTCTCTTGCTGACGTATGCAAAATTCTAGAGCTATTGTTGCGGTTGTACCAA